GATTGGCTGAATACCTCAAGTGTGTGACGGAAATGTTACGCCCCTTACCATACTGTGATGGCGTGTCCCGGCGCGTTGAGACAACACCAATAAAACCCATTACAAATAAGGCATTTGTTGCATCCAGTGTGGACATAATTACTGATTATAATGACTTATACTGTCTATTTACGCATTGCGTTGTGTATCGCGCCGTGTAAACAAAACCAAATCCTTGCAAAGTTGGAACTGCCCCACTTTATAGAAACAGCCTTTGTGCACAGACGCATTGTAGCCTACTCTGCAGGTTCAGGAAACAGTCCTCCATAAAATGCGTTGCACACATCTGAATATTTGGGTTGAACTGTTCTGGAACAGTGTTGTAAATACAACTTAACCACTGATTTCTAGTTGTGTCCTCTTTTGGAAGGCCAAACAAAGTAGTTTCGCTTTCACAACGAAACACACAGTGTCACACACGGCGGACTTGAGTGAGCGGCGGCCGGCCGGCTTGAGAACGGCACGGCCGGCAGATTCGGCGAAGGAGCGGCTAGCGGGTTTGCAGCAACCACATGTGACGACCCCGGGCTGGACTCCGCTTTGTCCACGGTGAAAGCCGATCCGGTGATCCACAGAGCGAAGTTGATGTATTTCCTCAGCGACCAGCACGGATCATCTCTAGGCATGATGAAGCGGATATCGTCCTCTTTTGGAAGGGCAAACAAAGTAGTTTCGCTTTCACAACGAAACACACAGCGTCTCCATGGCATGGCGGCGGCGGCAACAACAATACTACAGCAGGAATAAAAGTTACGCCCTCTTTCTTTGCATGAACATTTGGGTGGTGTTATGCAAATCTACGCACACAGTGATGTAGACATGTGGGGGCGTGTTTAAACGAGGCGTTTTAGGAGGGCGTGGACAAGTCAACTTTTATAAAGAATATCTCTTTGGGTTTGAGACTTTAGTCTTTGCAACTTTAGGGATCTTATCTATGCACGAACAGCTTGTAACACTCCAAAGAGAAAGGGAAATTTGAAATTGCATCATATGACACCTTTAACACCACCAACAAGTCATGTAGGCCTAATTAACATTAACACTAAGTGATATTTGTATTTACTTGCTTTAGAGACATTCCAGTAAACACTGCTAGGGGTTAGAAGTGAATAATATAAAAACCTGGAAAGAGACCAGAGGATTTGGGGAGTAAAAAAAGAGAAATTCTTAGTGCATTACAATAAACTTCCCCTATGCCTCTAAATGGCTTCCACAGCTAACCAGATCTCAATCCAATAGAGCATGTTTGGGATGTGGTGGATTGGGAGATTCGCATCATGGATGTGCACAAAAATTAAAGCAGTTCAGAAGGCAAAAGGGGGGTCCAACCACTGATCTATATATTATAGATCAGTGGGTCCAACCCAGTACTAGCAAGGTATACAAGTGGCCAGTGAGTGCATATGACCCATAGACTATATAAAAACAGATATGACCTTGAGTACGTTTATGCATGAATCTGCAATGATCGATAGATGGCAGTGATTCGTAATATCTGTCAAAATGCGTGTACAATGTTTCCAGAAGAAGACAGACTTATGGCGGCAATTCTATGCCATTAATAACCGAGCGCACCACAGATGCTGGCGCGCGGGGTAAATCAATTCCGCGAGAGGAAAACAGGTAAACAGAAGACTTCCTATTAATAAAGTATCTGAAAAAGATCTACTCTATGAACAATGCATTAAATTACATTCAATAAAGACAAAATAAATAAAACAAGCAAATGAAACTATAACTCACATGTATCTGGTCCACTGATGCCATGTCTTAAGTCAAGAGAATTATAAATCATCTTATAACAGGCGTCCAAAACTGACTTCCGGAAAAGAGGAATAACCAATGACATTTGAGGTTACAATTA